AGGTTTGAAGGCGAATCTTCTGAACTTTCTGAACTCCTTGATGTGTGTTTTGAAGAATCTCCCATGCCTCTTTAGCGGTAGTAGCGTTTGAAACTTTTTCGAACATGGAATCATCTAACGCTTGATAGATGATTGACAGGGCATATTGATCTTTCGTTCGAACCTTCTCCAAGGCATTCCTCTGGTTCTGGTTCAACGTGGCTTCATCCTCTGGCTCATCATAGCCAGTGTTAATAAGTTCCCACACACCGTAGGCGCCGAGTAGAGCTTTCATTCTAACAGCCTAGTTACCATAATTTTCTTTGGTAAGACGAGGGTATTGAAGAGGAAGCTGATTGTTTGTTGAGGCCATGTTCACGAACCGTAAGCTCTGATACCAATTTGTTGAGCGTCAGAGATGCAGCAACAACTTGATTTGATGGAAGAAATTTTTGAAGGTGAAACAATCACAATTCGCGCAAAGAAAAGAAGAAGATAAATAGAATTTTCTGACTCAATATATTTCACTTAGATTTCACTCTTATGAAAAAATTACAAGATTCCCCTATTTAAAGAAAAGTTACGTGACTCTTATCTTTCCTAAAATATAACAAGAAAGAATATCTCACAATATCTCATCTTATATCTTAATATCTAACCATATCTCTTAATATCTCACCATATATCTGAAAAAACAATTATTTCACCTAAAAACACGAAAAATCAAAATATGGAAATACAAACAGACTAAAAAAAAAAACAAGTACCAACAAATTTGGTTTAATTTCTAACAATGCAGTCCTACTGATAAAGGGATTGGGGGGTGGGGCCAGAGAAAACTAGGTTTAGGGTTCGAATTTGAGAGCACCGCACACACATGTACATAAAAGAGAAGAGCGAGACCAAAAAGAGAATTCGCCTTTCTCTTATAAAAAGAAGCTGGAAGATTATGTTTTCTCTAACTTCGTATTCGCTACTTGCTCCAATTTTCCTCTCTAAAGAGTCTGAAGCTTACGATGCGATTGGTAAAGTGTGCTTCCCCTAAACAAAAGCTAATAAAAAGCAATATAATATGCTCGAACTGTCCGGGGCCCTCTAGATATATTCTTTGGTTCTTTGTGCTAGTCTCGTGCTTTTTCAAATGCTCAACCTTTTTGGGGTATCTTTTTGCATTTGCTTGCGTGCCTTGATGCATATTTTTGCTAATCAAGGTAGTTTATAATGTGTAGAAATGAGAATGAAAACACACCAAAAAAAAAATCTGATAAAGCAAATACTAATGTTACTGTTAGCAGTATTTAAATATTAAACCACGTTTTTATCTAACAGCTTAAACTTTTAGAACAATTGACAGTAATCTCACTCACAGTTACGATGTAATTTTAGGACTCGATCCTTTTTATTATCTTTATTAGTTCTTGATATTTATGCAACAACACAAGAAAAATACATTTTGCAACTAATTTGTCTAGTCAATATTGACGTGGTGCAATAGGTCCGTCCATGTAAACATTTGTTTTTTCAAAGGAAAGATAAACCTGAACAAAGAAAAACATATATCTTAAGGACTCAATTGCACAAGAAAAGGTTGAGATGCTTAATTGAAAATTTACAATAGTTCAGGACCTGCAATACATTAATTCCTCCATTAACTTTAAGTTAAGCTTTTGAAACTTAAACTAAAATGGGATTTTATACTCACGCCTGACGCATGATATTTTCTATATTTTTTAAAGAATATATAAACATTATCGTTTGGAGGCGATCAGATTTTCATTCATGAATTTTAACAAATTGCAAAAACTTTGGAGAGAAATTCAAATGTGGCTTAAAGCGAAAACAAAATTAGTTCTACTACAATGGTAAGAGAGCGCATAATCTTGGTAGGACAGAAGCTCCTAATTTTTCTTAAGTGTTATATCAAAATAGGTTGTACACGCATTGCATCATAGCACTCAAAAATATAAAAAAAACGATGGGCACATGGGGAGGGAGGGTTATTGCCTGTATCCAATGTATGTCGGCTCGGCTCACACGAACCTTAGATTAGATGAGTCTCATGTGAGGTCCACTCCGTCTGATAATTCATGTGAACCGGGCTCTCATGTGCTATAGATTATGTGGGTCCCATACGAGGCCCGCTTCATCCAATAATTCATGTGAACCGGGCTCTCGTGCACTCTAATTATCCGGTACTATTTCGAGAGAGGGAAGGAGGCAGGTTACGAGGGGAAAAGCGATTGGCGTCCCATCCAAAATGGTGGTCCTTGTGCACTTGCAAATGCCTGGCTAACATGGTGTGCATGCTTGTGTGCAGCTCGAAAATTTGACAGGGACGTGTGAACTGCCATGAACCTTCACAGGAAAAGGTCGATGTGCTCAAGTGTTTTGCCCTGAAACCGGTCGATTTTGGAGCTAACTTTAAAGGAACCTACGTGACTGCACTGCACACGAGCGCTTTCATTCAATGGAAAGGACGAAGATTCCTCCAGATGTTGTTTTCAGATTAGCTGGAGCTTTATTGCTCACTGCTCAGCACCATTATGGCCCCTTTCAAAAAAAAAAATCACTTGTATGTTTCGTGGGTCACCTGTAACTTTTTTTTTTTTTTTTGCACATTGTCATCTTTTGCATTCGACCTTCTAATGTCGATGATATATGATGGTTTATGAGAGACGAGTGTCGTTAAGATAAGTTGATTAGGGGACAAATCAATTCGAAAGAGGTAACTTTTCGAAGCTGGATTTAAGGAGTCGCACGGAATAGAAATGCACATGTGATTGACAATTGAGATGTACTATTATGTACACTATGCCTCTTTATTGCAAAAAGGTCCTTGCCATGGCGAATCTTGCATGTGCGCCGGTCGCATGGAATAGAAGTGCCCTTGTGATTGACAATTGAGATGTACCATTCCGTACACTATGCCTCTTTATTACAAAAGGGTCTTCACCATGGCAAATCTTGCATGTGCCCACTGGCAATTTGATGGAGAATGATATACCGAATGACAACGCGATGCATTTAAATCTGGCAACGCTTATTGAAAATTTCGAGTAATTTGACGGGCATTCGAGAATCTTTTGAATTAGATAATTGATATAAGAGTAGAGTACGTGTGATTCAATGTAGATAGGTTGTGTGGGAAAATTACCCAAATCAGTCATAAATCTATATTGTGCATATGTCAATTTAGTCCTAAATTTTTCAATTTTATCAATTTAGTTAGGAACCTTTACGCGAAATTCCAATATAGTCTTTCTGATCAATTTTTGCAGGAAATCGCTAACGTGGTGGCTAGCAATGACCAGATTGCCATATCAATAATTTCAAGCGAAAATTGACCAGAAGGACTACATTGAAATTCGCACGAAGGTTCAAGACTAAATTAATAAAATTGAAAAATTTTAAGACTGAATTGACATTCGTACGATAAGTCTCGGGACTTATGGGACACTTTTCCCTGGGTTGCTTCCAGATCGGAGACGGAAGTAATGTCTTTTTTTGAGAGCTTGACTTAAAAAAATGCGAATACATGAATAAAGACGAGAAGCTCTAAGCCCTTAGGCTAGGTATAATAATGAGGAGTTGAACACCATAGGGCACACGTATTGTGATGAGAAGAGGGGAGATAAGTCAAATGAAATTTGGTGGGCGAATTCAGTGCGCCATTTGTTGCACCAATCTGGGGAATCAAATTGGTCTTTCGAGAAAATCTAGTTGTTCCAGAATCAAATGTGGCCTTTTCCATATGGATCTCTCTCTTTGATGATGGGGAGCTAATTGTGGCTTTGAATGCTCAAAAAAGAAGCAGCTTCATTCGTACGCTATGGCTTGGCAATCATCCAAGCACGTGTCTAGGGAAAAGACGAGAGAAACCCGCCGTGTAGGTTACGCATAACTCGAGCCGACACCGATCATATTATGCACAATTAATACCTTGAAAATTAAGTTAGTTCGAATAAAGCATACCTAACAAAACCCATTTTATTTCGAACCCCCCCTCCAAAAAAAAAAAAAAAAAAACCCATTTCATAATTTTCGCGAAATAATTCTTCAATCAGGGTCTATTTGTTCGAAGAAAAACTGTTTCTGGGAAATTATTTTCCGACTTTTCAATATTTGAATGATGAAAAACTAATCGATTTACGAGAAACGTTTTCTATAGACCGAAAATAACAAATTTAGATCAGGCAAAAACGACTTTCTCCCCGAAAAGCTAATAATTTTCCTAAAAAACGATTTCCGTGTAAAAAAATATTTTTTCTTCCATCAATGTCTTTTTTTTTTTGGGGGGGTCAGATTCTTTCATCAATGTCAAGAACTTAGAAATCGAGGGACTCAAGAAGCTGTAATCCCTATACCACATCACGCTCTTTCTCATCCACTGCACTTCCTTTATTGCATCGGAGGATCGGATTGTATCCACAGGTGAACTTTCACAACTTTCAATATTAAAATTTAGTTTTTTTTTTTCCCAAAAAAAGTTTCAGATCTCAAAATAATTTTCTCTTTTCAGGAACATTCACACAATTTCTCCATACCATGTATTTTTTGGCAGTAATTTCTTTTTCATTACATAATAATTCAAATATTTCGTAATTAAAACATCTTGTTTAATCTTTCAAATGTCAATTTCTTACGAATTACTAGTGAAAGAAAAATCCGCTCTCGGCGAAGCCCGAGAACGTCTAACCAAATTATCCTCCGGCTTTAACGAAGTATAATATTTTCTCTCTCTCCTTGGCTTGGCTTCGGGTTTTCTTCTCTCTTTTTTTTGTCGATAATTGAGCAGCATTTTTTACTGCATTTTAACAATTCATTTACTCTTCCTATTATATCAACAATATATCGAGATGTAAATTTAATTAGTCGACGTCCCCCGAAACAGAGCAATTCTGTGATAATGTATATTTCGTCGTACCTTCTATATAAGGTATCGTAACCCACAAAATTTAAAAAAGTTCACGAAAAATATACGAAATTTCCTCTCATTTCCATCAATCAATCACTACGTCCCACAAAAAAAAATACATAAATTTATTAATGTGCACGCGCTCCATTTTACACCAGAACCAAAAAAAAAATATATTGTATATATAGAAAAGACCTTGCGCCAAAGATGAAAACCCAATAATACCCTCCTACGTATAAATACGCCCCCCTTATTTCGAATAATAATTCGCAAAAACCCACATTAAATTTAAATTTCCTACTTAAAAACTTACATAAAAGAGGAAATAAATATATTCAGAATTTTTCGAAAGCGAAAATAAAAAAAGTCAAACCCTCGTTAACCTTTCCACCGTCCTTCACTTCAGCCCCGGCAGCCGGTGATCCTGCTGCACGCGCGCGAGTAGGGGTTGGCCGGAGCTCCGGGTCGGCAGTTGTAGTACGACGCGCCGCGCCTGGAGCAGGGGACGGCGTTCCGCCTCAGCGCGCCGTAGCTGATGTAGCGGCGCGCCGCCAGGATGCGCCGGTTCGTCTCCGAGTCCATCGCCAGCTCCTCCTCCTCCCCCCACCCCCACTCCCCGCCGCCGACGAGGCACTCGGCGAACGAGCCCCCGCACTCGCCGGCGGAGTACGGCATGACGGCGGCCGCGAAGTCGAGGGGCGAGGAGGCCGACGCGCGGGCGGACAGGGCCAGGCAGGCGGCGGCGGCGACGGCAACGAGGAGGCCGCGGAGAAGGTGGCCGGAGCAGCCGGCGGCCGTCTTGGTCATGGTGTTTATGTGGGTTGCAGAAGGAGGAGGAATGGGAGGAGGAAGAGAGGAAAGTGAGAGAGGCAGAGGGGGGACGACTGTGGAATTTAAATAAAGGTGACAGGTGGTGGACAGGTGTGCCCCTGGGTTGAGGGCTTATTTACAGGTGTGCCACGCTTTGACTTTATGTGATCCTTTTTTCCTTTTCCTTTTTCCTTTTTCTTTTCTTTTTCTCTACCATCTCATTTGAAAAGGATTGACGTTCGAATTACGCGATTATTTCAGAAATTAATAAAAAATAATAATGGAGATCCCTTGTCTTCGTGGCCCTGTTGAACGTATTTGACATAGAATGGTTTAATTTTCAAAATATGGATTTTGCATAATACCAAAAATATTAGTGCATAAAAAATCGTAGAATTTCATTAGTTAATTACTTAACAAGTGATCGGTGAACATTTATTGCCTTAGAGCACTCAACGTATTGAATCGATTGTGATAGTAGTAGTCATGGATTATGTGTCATGGAAACAATAAGATACACAATGTTATAACGGGAGCAAGTATATGGTATGATTGTGGCTATGTCGAGCTAAGCTATAGCTATGCTATAAAGGATTTTGATTTGTGCATGTGGTACTATCTGTTAGAAAGCCGAGGTATTTAGATGATTGGTGAGATAGCTTTCTAAAAGTTATTGTAAGCTATTGCAGTTATTGAGTATTGCAACTATGAGAAATTTGTAAAATGCCTCATGAGAGTTGCAACATCTCTAATCACGGCTGCAACAATCCTTTTCGCATAAGTTATTTATGAGAAACATTGCGTCAATCGGGCTTTCAACACACACACACACACACACACATATATATATATATATATATAAACCTATTTCAAGTTCTTGTTTTGATTTTCTTTTTCTGGGGCGACAACTATGCTTTGTTTTGATTTCATGTACATGGAAATGAAGTATCTATATGAAATAAGAATCAAAAGACCAGATAGATCCCACATCAATTGAATCACGTAAATTAAGATTGATTAAGAGGCAGGCCGATGATGATTGCGTTTTGGCTATGATAGTTACGCAATTCACTTTCGTCTCTAAAACTTCAAAAATAAAGACATCCTTTAATTCTTTGTTAAAGATAAATTCATTTGTGATGACTTTCTCCTAAACTTTTGCTTTTAACCTCTTCTTCTTCTTTTTTTATTATAAATATATCACTTTAGTTGTTAGTAAAGCATAGACTATGAATTTGGCAAAAAAACCAACCAAAGGATAACAAAAAATTGGGAGAGAGGATTCTTTTAGAAATAATTTTGGGCTTTTTGTGATATATACGGAAAGAAGCGGCAATCATCTCTTTAAAAGTTGTATATTTGTAGAGGCCATGTATATTTATTTTTTCTGATTTATTAGTATTTCTAGATGCTATGTTAGCTGCACCCTTTTTAAGTTTGCAATACGATATTTATATAGAAAATTTCTCCACTTTTTTGCAGTAACAGTAACAAAAGGTACTCATCATTGTCGGCGGGTGGCGATTGTCCCGACACAAAGTATTAAAATTCAAATAAGTATCGAAATCTATAAATATTTTCCTAAAAATTCTCCACCGTATCACTTGATATAATTAGTCAATAAAAAATATTTTCATTATCAACAATAATTTACACCCGAACATTTTCGCAGGCGATTAATATAATTTTCCATATGTTCATTTTCGTGAGCGATGCGAGCAACCATTTCCAAAAAAAATGTTTTTCAAATCATTCGTTTAGAGCCTTACTCTGTAAACATGCGCCGGGTTGCACACACGGTTTGATCTTAACAGTGCGGCGAGCCCGGCTTTTTGGTCGGTGAGAACGAAATTTACGCCTCGGGACCGAAAGAAAAGAAGAAAGAATAATGCAAAAAGGGTGTGAACAGCATGGAGGAGGAGGAGGAGGAGGAGGAGGAGGAGGCCAGGCATTAGACAGCCAATGTGCGAAATGGACCACCACCACCACCACCACCACCTTGAAAGGGAGATCTGCAATTTACACTGAAGAAACCCCCCCGACACCGACGAGCGAAGCAGACAAGCGCCTTTTGATTCAGATCGAAAAGAGGCCCCCCAAGTGGCGAAAGCAGGCCACCTGATAGAGACAACCCGCGTTTTATTACATGGCCAGCTTCGGATTTTTTCTGTGGAACTTATTAGACAGTGACGGGCTCGTCTGCTCGCGTGACAGATGTCCTAAATCTTGCGTACGAAATAGCATCGAGGTCGTTAATTTTTCCACCGGTTCAAATCAAATCTTAAGCCTTTGCTCAGGAAGCGCAATCGGATCATCTCGATGAACTGTGCCCACGCATCGCTCGAAATGCGCGCACGGCGTGGCATCCTTAAACTGCGCTTTTTCGATTTGATTTGTATTTCTCGATAGCAGTCGAGGGCTTAATTGAACCGATTGAGATGTTCGAGATTCAAATTGCTCATGAGCAAGAATTATGGATTTGAGCCTCGAGCTTGAACTAGTTTAACGTTGGAGTTATGAACCTCTGAAAAGTAAAGCTCCCGGGTTTCTAACTTTAAAAAGAAGAAGCTTGGTTGGATCAGTTGAGGATCTAGATATAACATAATCAATAGTAAGACGATATTCATGCAACTGTAAACGAAATGTGTGTGAAATATTTTGGGATAATGACACAAATAGTGCATGAATTTTGGCTCAATGTGTAATGTGGTACTTAAACTTTTAATTTATTCAATGTAATCCCCGAACTTTGGCTCAATGTGCAATGTGGTCCCTAAACTTTTAATTTATTCAATATAATTCATGAACTTTTCAGTTATGTTCATTCTAGTCCTTGAATTATATGAAAATATTTAATATCGTCATTCCATTAATTCAAGTTTAGAAACAATATTGAACATTTTCATATATTACAAGGATTAAATTGAACGTGTACCAAAATTCTATGGACCACATTAAACAATTTAAAAATTCAGGGACGACTTGCACATTAAGTTAAAGTTCATGAACCACATTGAACAAATTAAAAATTCATTAAATCATACTGCATATTCAGCTAAAGTTCAATGACCATTAGTGTCATTTTCCCAATAACCTTTTTTTTTACTTTTTACAATTTACTTAAGTTAAATATTGTGACGGAAGCACTTTTGACTTGTTTTGTTAATTAGTAATAGCCGCAACTTTCACAACATACCTCTTTTGACACATGGATTCACATATAATCTCTTTGTAAGTTTTTAAAATCTGAAGAATATTTTGAATTCTGACGGAAAATAAAAAAGTTGGTTAGGGATTTTTAGAAGTAATTTTTTGCGTTTATTGAAACATCGTGCATAGGGCTTTTGGCGCTTAAGACTTTAGATTCATTATACATTAGGAAAATTAATAAACCTCTATATCGATGAGTGCCATGTCTATGCTTGTCGTCTCATTATTCTTTTGAAGTTAAACAAGTTCTAAAGCGCGGAAATTATAATTTCATGCTTAGTTTATTTCGCGAAAAAATTTGAAATGTTTGGAATATGTCCTCGAAGAAGTTATTTTGCCAAAAAATGACAATATTTGCCAAGGTGTGACTGAAATCTGAATTTGAACCGGAAATTATTTTTCGCCTTTTGCAAAGGAAAACATGCTTTTATGTTCATAAAAAAGATGTACACTATTCATGTGATATAAGGGCTACACATGCTATATTATCAAATTTTAAACACATGTATAGATTGTCAACAATTTATTTTTTTCCCTTTTATTTATCAGCATTTCCGTTTCCATATAGTTGAAATAAACACCCCAATAGAAAAATTAAAATCATCACGTCATATTTTCAAAAAATCACCCTGACCAGCACCATTGCTTTTGGACCAGGCCACGAGTCGCTGGTTACTGCTGTTGAATTTTCCATTGATTTCAATTAGTTGATAGCAATTGATAACCAATCTCTCACTACCTTCCATCTCTCACTATCTTCCAATATCTCTCCCTCTCTCCGCTTGCACTGCGCTACGCTTAGTAATAAAGGTTGTCGCCGAGACCTCAAAACCTCAGTCCTAGGTCAATATGAGGTCGACCGCCTCAAACAGCCTCGCTTCGAGCAATCATGGCAATATGCGCTTAGAGCTTAAAGTAACGAGGAGTGATAGTTGAGAGAGAGAGAGAGAGAGAGAGAGAGAGAGAGAGAGAGAGAGAGAGAGAGAGAGAGAGAGAGAGAGAGAGAGAGAGAGAGAGAGAGAGAGAGAGAGAGAGAGAGAGAACCGTGTTTCAGGGAAAAAATGTGAGCTGGGTGGAGGCAAGTAATGGGTGACGTATGACGGCAACATTGTGCGAAAGCCAGCAATGGCGGTGTCGTGCGATTGAAAGGCGAGTCTGAGCAGGTTGAGGGATAGAGAAAAGGGGCTACATGGGTACTTTCGCCACCTAATTTTCGAGGGTGTGTATGGAGACAATTTGGGAGTGGAATTAGCGTGATATGTTGAACATATCATCAAATTGGAGTCATCTTAGTCTCTTAACGTGTGTTTTAAACTGTTGTTTCGGTGGGGGCCTTTTGCCACTAGATGTCGGGCACCGAGTTTCCAATCCGGGTATCCTACATGGGAATTTACAATGAAGTGATTGATGACCTACTTGCCGTGGAGAACCAGGAATTGCAGATGCATAAAAGCTTAGATATGTGGACCAATTTCAGTGTTGGATTGGCCTAGATAAGTTCTTCGAGAATATTGAATGGTCACCCTTTTTCCCAGTTCTCTTGTTTTGTAGAGAGGCATTTTCGTCGCAGGCCTTAAAGAGGAAATTGTGAACGATTAGAATCAAGTGCTTTTAAGCTCATAGGCTAAGGCGAAGGTTTGTCTGAAAACACTAAAAAAATCGAGCCTCTCTATTTATTTCAGATTTCACGCGTATAGAAAAAGAGCATAGTTTCTTATAATCAATATATGGACACTTCGGCGAAACCAACATGAACGTTCGGAGTGGTGGATCTCACACGATATTTAGAATGGTATTTCCAACTAATCAAAATAAAGCTTTTGCTGGCCATTTTCAC